GAATTCACTTCCATTTCAAGTGAAAGTGTGTGCCTGATGAAGAGTTTCGAAGATGGATCCCACCAGCAGACGAGGGCAAATTCATCTTGGTTTTACTGGAACATTCTTGCTGACGCTGTCCCCGAAGCAAACATCTTCGATTTCGAAGAAAACGTGCTAAGCTTTCGTCCATCCTAGGACGGACATCCTCCTTACAATCATGATCAAGCATAAAAGTCAAAGAGAATTATCGGCATAGTCCTACATGCTAGGTAGATAAACTAAATATGAAGAAAATGTGGGTTTCGATGAATCCCTAGGAGGAAAAATGGGTTTGAAGTTATTCATGAATTGATCCCTTTCGAAACCAAATGAGGATTGCCTTATTTTTTCGCCAGTTGCAATTAGTGCGATTTTTCATAAAGTATGCCTTCTCGCCCTGACAATGTATATCACACGACAAACGAAGCGTAAACCTGAACTTGGCATTAAAGCAAAGCGGCTGCAGAATAACGCAAGTCAGCAGTTGATCTACGAATATCGTCACATGCACTTTCATACGAAATGAAAATATCTACAACAATGCCATACAATGGACAAAGCAGGGTATTATTCTAACAATCAAATTCGAGCGAATGAGTTAGGAGAAGTTATCGGCTTTTTCCTTCATAATAATGTATAGATTTAGGGACTCTATTGCGATATAACTTACCATTTTGAAGAAAAAGTTGGTCGGAAGGAGCTTGAGAATTGGTTTCATCGGAAAGCGGAGGACTGCTTTGGATTGAGGTAAAGACAGTTTTGTGCTGCAAAGCAGTCCCTGATTCACCATCCTGCGACTCCTATTAACCCATGCTAAACTTTCGTTTGTCGTGTGACATACATCGTCGGGGCGAGAAAGCGTATTTTATGAAAAATCGCACTAACTGCAACAGGCGAAATAATAAGGTAATTCTCCTTCGATTTCAAAAGGGACCAATTCATGAATTACTTCAAACCCATTTTTCCTCCTAGGGATTCATTGAAACCCACATTTTCTTCATAGTTAGATTATATACCTAGCATGTAGGACTATGCCGATAATTCTCTTTGACTTTTTTGCTTGAACATGATTGTAAGGATGATATCCGTCCTAGGATGAACGAAAGCTTAGCACGTTTTCATCGAAATCGAAGAGGTTTGCTTCGGGGACAGCGTCAGCAAGAATGTTCCAGGAAAGCCAAGATGAATCTGCCCTCGTCTGTTGGTGGGATCCATCTTCGAATCTCTTCATCAGACAGACACTTTCGCTCAAAATAGAAGCGAGCCCAACAGCAAATTTCTCATAACCCAGGTCCTTCCCCATTTCGTGCAGAATGGCTATCAGTCGATGCAACGCTATATAAAAATGGTATATAATTAGATAACAATGAATATTTTCGCAGGCGTTTAAAAATTTTTTACTAAAGATTTCAACTTCTGCTTCTCCTTAGCGGAACACGGACTTATTCCTAATTTGTGGCACGTGAGAGTTTAATAAATGCGATTGTTGAGCCGTTTTTTATTTCAGATAAAATTGTTTGATAAAGAGAACCATAGATTTATCTCATCAATTCCTATCCCCAAAAGATCAGTGTTATGGTATATAAATATATGCAACATTTACAGATAAGCCAATAAGTTCATACATGTGCCAGCCTGTATAGGTTGATAGCAAGCTCCAATGATGTCTTACAACTTGCATGACAAATGATAGCTCAGTACACTTACGTTGCGAACGAGGATGATTGTCTCGAGGACCGCGTCAACTAGAACCTCCCAGAAAAAACAAGCAAAAGCCAGCCGAGAGGAATCTGACATTGTCACTTTAAATTGAAGTGGACACAACGGCTTCAAATCATGAGAATTTTCAAAAGATGTACTTTTAATTGCACATATAACGAAAGGATAGTACAAATTCGTACCACCTTGCCCTAGCTAACTAAGGCAATTTTTGGGCAAAATATAATCCAAATTTTTGTTTTCAATAGAATATGGTTTGAGTCCGAGGATTAGCCTCACCGAAAACCGAAGTAGAATTGTCGTGACGTGAAGACAGTCGGATTATGCAGAAAAAGTTTCCGTATTACCGTCCTGCCCCTCCACTGAACCCATTTTAAGCTGTCATCTGTTCTCCCGAGATAGATATTGTCAGAGTAATAAACCACAATTTACGAGCAAATGAACCAAATACACAAAACCAAGAAAAGGATGACCGGCTGCAATTATACTCACTTCTCATGCCAAGCATTGTTATGGTAACAAGACGTAATTTGGCTGGTTACGTCATTATTATCCTACCTGATGCACAGATAGGTCAAGTTGATGCATGAAAAGGAAGTGGAGTTGGTCACATCTGTTTTATCACATAAATAAACTAGTGTTTGATCCTGTAGTGTTGACATACGTTTAGGCACGTGATATTGTGTATTTTATATATTAAATTTGCAAGCCAATGAGGTATGAGTGCCCAAACAAGCTGATTAGTTTGGGCCTTAGACAATATGACGGAGCGTCTAATTTTGCCAATGCTATTGCTACAAAAGTCCCGTTTCTAAACGACGACCCTGTCGAAAAAAAATCAAAAAACCTTATCCTATGGAAGTGTATCCTCTACGTTGCCAATGAAAGTTATTTGCGCCTCTTTTAAGGTTTCAGAGCGTCTCCGGAGACCAAGATACGAGTGATAACAGCAGAATCGTAAGAAAGCCTCAACCAGCCGGGCAGATCAGCGTAAAGGGGTCAAGTGGAGCCGGAGGAGGGGCCCGAGCTGACTTACCCACGAGAAACCGATACAGCCGATCCCACCGCTGAGCATGTCGCCAAGGATCGATGCGAAAGAAGTCGACGTTGGGTAGTAGGCGTGGAAGTTGGGGTGGTGCCAGTGTGTTGTCTGTGCGGAGAGAAGAGAGTTAACAAGCAGAAGTAGAGAGAAATCTTGTGCTGGACTTGGGGGTCGACCTCAAGTCAGGCTTAAAGAGGCCCATTAGGTTAAATGCCAGTTTGGTTCGCTAAACGTCCTACCTGTTCCGACCACTCGCACCGTCCCGAAAGCGGCAGTAGTGGGCCCAAATCTGCTGTTAAAGGCGAAGTCCTTTCTAAAGTATTCTCCTTTATACTTCATGAAAGAGCTTAAATATGAAGTATATGTACAGCATAAAGGGGTAAGCGGGTGAGTTTTCTTGATTCGTAAGCTTGAATATGGTTGTAAGGATGATACCATGCTCTGATGATATCTCATACGATGAACGAAAGATTAGCTCGTTTTTACCTGAATCGAAGGAGACAACTATGAAACAAGAGATTCCTCAGAATCCTACTTTTCTGTGTATATATTTCGTCTGTATCGCCGTGACAGACATGATCAGGGCCAGAATCCATACTATACGAAAAAACGCAAGAAATATATTAAATCAAGAGAACATATTATAAATAGTCTTGGTATGTAGAAAAACTAGGTTTCTAAGGATCCCGTAATAGATTGAAGTTGGAGTACCTTTCGTTTGAAGAGGCGAGTGGAAAGGATTCGTAAGTTGGTTTCACCGGAAGCTGGGGAGGATTACATTGGAATAATTATCCACGAGGACTGGTTGACAATTGTTTCGGAATATTGTCAAATAGGATGGAGGGAAATACATGTTTGGGGCTAGATAAAAAGCTATACCAATCCAACAGAATCCTTATGCTGCCATCGTGTAATCCGTCGAATAAGATAGGCGAATTACTGAGAAGTTGGGACATCAGGACCATAAAGAGGAAATAAAATTTTTATCGGTTTCGCCTTCTTTTCGTGAATACTCTGACCCTCTCTCTAGATCGGGTTGTTACAAGATTTTGTGTTCATGAGATAGAGACTATGTGGGAGAAACTCACGAATTCTTTCCAAACAACTTTTTCTTCAAAATGGAAGTTCATCACTAAGGAACTCTTTAAAACCATTTTTTCATTGTCCAGAACATCCCGTCCCAACGGCTGTCGCTAGAATCGGGCACAGTTTTGCCCTCGTCGCGGAGGCATCGAACAAGCCTATCTTTCCGATGTTGTGTGCTTCAGCGCACGTGGTGCCCAAACCAGTGGCATAGACGGATCTCGCCGAATGATCCCGCATAGACGTCAGAGGCCGTTAACCTCTGGGCCAGACGAACCCTATTCCACCTGTATTGCACAACAGGTGCGACCTGCAAAGACAGAGGCCTGGTTTTAGGGAATTTGGCTAATTGCGAATGGAACCTGCCTTTCAGATACAAGAAAAATTAAAAATAAAATCAGAAATTTCTTCCACTCCATCCTAAGCAGACTCGCCAGCAGTCCAAAAAGGAGCCAGTCTAAATGGTTATAGCTCGACAACACGCAAAAATATGGGTTCACCCACCTCAGCGGATCCAAGTCCATAACTTAATGCGGCTCCTGTTGGAGAATATATTAGGATTTAATGGAAGTTCATATTCCGGAGTCATGACGTCAGGAACCTTTTGCAAATTTGCCTGGAGTAGAGGCTTAATTTCTATTTGAATCATGTCTTGGCGAAAGTTCAGACGGGTTTGTGCGAAGTTCCCTCCAAAAGAAACTCGAATAATTTAATTTGTCTAGTAGCAATTTCTCCCACGAACATTGGCCTTGTTCTGAGGGAGCATACAGCAAATCGAGCGTCCACGGAGCAATTTTCGGTAAAAAAATAATTTTTATAATACCACTCAACTAAAATTTATCAGCACAATTGATGGAAACGCATAAAGGGAAAACAGACCAGAAGTTAGAAAAAAATGATATTACAATAATGCGGAATAATAATAATATATATAAGTTGTGTTCACTCTATTTCTTTTAAGATGATAAGGGACTGGTAGTTGAATTTTCCCAAGATGATATGAATAGACCTAATGTTTTCCATTCAATTTCGTATATTTTTTGTGCTTACTTCCATTTCGAGTTAAAGTGTTTGGTGAAGAGATTGAAGGTCGATTCCACCAGAAGACGACGGCAGATTCCTTTTGACCAGCTGTCTATGGGCTTTATTGGAACAATCATGGTAACGCTGTTTCCGAGGTAATCTCCTTCGATTCCGGTGAAAAGGTGCTAAGCTTTCGTTCGTCATATAACGAATAACATCAGAGCAAGGTATAATCGCCACAACCAAATTCAAGCTAATGAGTCATTGACAAATCCATAAAAAGCGGTATATATACTCTACATCTGGCCTCCTTTATCAGGTATAAAGTGATTGGGTTAGTTACGGTCAGATGTCAACTTCGAAGCCTGTGGGTGTGTCTGTCTCTGTATGTGTATGTTTCTGTTTGTGTTTGTTTATGCCCGAAACCTGCAGTGATGGCTCAAAGTAATAAGGACAGCAAAAAGTTACCCCTGTTTTCGGCCACCAAGGTTTGATTACCCCTATCTCCCCCTTTCTACTTTTAAGTTATAACCATCACTCCGATTGCGCAAGGTAGGACACACGTCTTGTTTTGTTGATAGGCCTATTTTTTGCTTTTGATCTCAATACGAGAAAGAAAGAGTGAGCTAAAAGTACAGATAAATGATTATGATTAGAACCAAGACAAGAAAATACTAGTTGAATCGCCTCCTTTTTGCAGGCGGCTCAATTCACTCTCTATCCTTGAATGTATTTAGTTAAGCGCAAGTAATTTTTGCTTGTCGGTATTCCTTACATTCAATGTATTTCTTATTCTGTTTATTTCGATGGCTTCTCTAATTTTACGTTTAGCCGCAAACATGTCATAACCAACAAAAGGACAAGTTTAAGACCATTTAATCTCGTGTCCCGTTTTTGCCCTGTGCTCAGCCAGCTCCAATTTTTGAACCCAACAGCCTTTGCAGGCGCTTTTGTGCTCAGACACACTTTGTCGAATTGGACGACAAGTCTCTCCAACATAAAAGCGACCACATGAACACATTATTTTGTGGCAACCCGAGCTGGATCTCTCTAAAAGTGGGCATAACTGAAGAAAGTGTCATATTTTTAATGAAAACCGTTTTAATTCCTCACTTCCTTACTTGTTCACCTATTCTTTTTAGAGAGAATACACGAAGATAACGACAAAACATGAGAAAAGGTCTCCTTATCTCTCCTTACGTATTCACCA